AAAAAAAAAAAAAAAAAAAAAAAAAAAAAAAAAAAAAAAAAAAAAAAAAAGAATCATGCAAGAATACCAAGAGAATTCCCGAGAAAAAGCAAAGGAGACAGCAACAAGGCCCACAGATAGGAAACCATTCCAAGAGCCACACTTGGCCATGGTTGTGGTTAGACCAATGGCCAATCAAACCCCAGACTAAAGACATGAGAATCAAATGTAATAACACAAGACACATTGATCTTACTACATACAAATGCTCAAAGTTTGTCATAATATAATGACAAAATATTAGTGTTCTGCTGGGGAAAAACATTTTTACCATATAATTCAGAGTGTTAATGTATAAAGAACATTTTAGAAATCAATTTTAGAAAAAAAAAACTAATACTCTAATGGGGAAAGAGGTTAAGAATATGAACAAACATTCAAAAGGAAAGAAAATGCCATTTAATACATGAAAAAATGTTAAACCTTATAATTTAAAAATGCAAGCTGAAATAAAAGAAGACACAATTCCTCAGCCTTTCAGACTTATAAAGGCCATACAAACTTGAGAACAAACAATGCTGGTGACAATGGAGGAGAAGCAAAGTTCTGTTTTTTCTTGTAAAATCTGGATCACTCCATGAAGTTGAGGGGCATCCTCGCACAGGAATCATGCTAGTCTTCACTGTATTGTTCACATTTTAGTATGTTTTGTCAGAGCAAGCACACTAATGTTTTGTTCAGTTAGTCTTTTGGAGTTTGTTTATTTTGGTTTTTTGAAAAAGAATTTCTCTGTGTAGCTTTGAAGACTATCTTGGAATTTGCTCTGTAGACCAGGCTGGCAGAGATCACCTGCCTCTGCCTCCCGAGTGCTGGGATTAAAGGTGTGCACCACCACGCCAAGCTCATGCTCTGTGCTTTTTATGAGTGTAGTAATTGGCAAAATGCTCTGAAATTTCTACTATCTCAAATAAAAATGTATATATTCTTTGATCCAAACCATTACTTTAGACAATTAACTTTAAAAAAATTCTTAATCATGAACAAAGATGAAAATACAAGAATAGAAGTTACAATCAAATTCACAGAAGCAAAACCCTGCAAATCATCTAATCTAACCATTCATTAGGAGAGACCTGGTTGATTATTATGATACACCCACACAATGAAATTAAAATTATGGAACTGAAGAACTTACATGAACTCCTATCATATATTAACATATCAAGAGAAGACAAAAAGATGAAGGTGTATGTGGTGTGTTCAACTGTATATAAACCAGCACTGGTCTAATAGGTATGCACAGAGTATCTTGGGGATGCTCTTAAATCTCTACAGAGCAGGGCTTCTTTAAAACACATAACATTCTAGTCTATTAAAATTTATATTTATTTCTTAAAATGTAAGTTAATGACATTCAAAAGAGAATAATGAAATTACATGTTTCCAAGGTATCACCCATACTGTCTTTTCCTTACATTTATTCACAATGATTTAACTAAATTTTAAAATTACATACAGAAAAATAATACTATGGTTCCCTGCAGTTATCTAAGCTGTCCAAGTTGTCCACAGTGGCAGCAGACATGCAATCCCACACTCAGAAGGCTGAGTCAGGAGGACTGTACATTTGAGGCCAGCTTGGGCTAGTAATTACATGATGTCAAGACCAAAAATTTTTTAATGTTTTAAATTTAAAAATAATGTAAAAATCACTGGTACTCAACCATTTCTCATTTCTGACATACAAAACCAGTCATCACCTAGTCCAACCTAAATACTGTACAAGTTCAAAGGTCAGAGACTAAGTCCACTGACCTGTGTGGCAAATTATTCATCTTCTCTGCATGTCTCACTATTATTATCTATAAAATAGAGAAGACAACAGACCTACCTCAGACATGTTGAAAGTATTAAATGGAGTAACACGGGCAAAGACTTAGCACAGTGCCTGACACACAATTAAGCAAAAACAGACACCAGTCACTGTTAGAGAGTCACCACCATCATGCTCATCACCACTACCACAGCACCACCACGACACCACCATGACAGTCCTTCAATCACTGCTACAGCCCAGTCCTGAGGGAGGCGCTCACTCGGGCCTTCACCATCTACTTTTGCCTTAATCTAGGTAAGAGCAAAAAGAAAACCAAAGCCTTTGCCCCCCATCTGGCAGTTTGTTTAACAGAAAATATAGTATTTTTCTGAACGTAGTCTTTAATAGCCACATAAACATTGTTTTCAGAACGAGACAGATTCCTGAGGGGGAAAAAAATCTTTATCTTAAATGCTCTAATGTGGCTTTAAAAAAAAAGAAACAATGTTTACATTACATGTCCAGCACTGAAAACTCTCTACAAGGAGAGTATTCCTTCCCTGGCAGTGATAATCAAGCCCACAAATGGAAAAATGCAGAAACGAGGCAAGCAGGACTTACCTAAGGGATGATCAGCGTAGTCCGGTCTCTGAATGTAACTGGGCACTGGCCTTGTTGGCATCTAGAAACAATAACGAGATCTGTTCAACACCTATTACCTAATAACAAAGATAAGCCTGGGGAGAAGACTCAAGAGTCAGATTCAAGCAAAACTTTTTCATAAGAAGTTAGTTCTAATGCCAGGTGGTGGTGGCACACGCCTTTAATCCCAATGTTTGGGAGGCAGAGCCAGGCGGATCTCTGTGAGTTCAAGGCCAGCCTGGGCTACAGAGCGAGATCCAGGACAGGCACCAAAACTACAGAGAACCTTGGGGAAAGGTTTTTGTTTTTGTCTTTTAGGAGAATGAAGGTTAAGGAATCTGAAGAACACTGGACAAATGAGACAACTGAAGAAAAGTGACAAATCTTCTATCCCAAGTAACAGAGTGAAACGGTGTATGGGTATATATTATCTAAAAAATTT